GGTTACATAACAGAGGTGTCTTCTTACAGTGGCTTAAGAGTCAAGGGATCGATCTCCGCGACGCAGGAGTCGAATCCCCGGAGCAGATCGGACGCACCGAAAGACACGGCGGACTATGGAAAAACGTGTTTAAGAAAGTGGTTCACGACAAGAACGTTATTGGCCTCGACGAAGTCATGACGACAGCCGTAGAGGTCGACAGCACCAAGAACGAGATGTCCCGAGTTGGCGCCTTTTCGCCGTCTCAGTGGGCACTCGGTCAGCTGCCCCGTGTGCCGGGGAGTCAGTTCGACGACGAAGAAGCTTACGACCTGGGTGTATTGGCTAACGTGGCTGAAGATGGGTCTGATGAGTTCTCACGTCAATCTGCAATCCGCGCCACTGCCAGGAAAGCATTCGCCGAGCACGACGTTGGTAGCAGGACCGCGCGTGCTATGCTTCGTAGAGCAGCCCCTCTGGCCGGCGAGTACCAGGTCGGGGATGTGGCGTGCTTTCGCAAAAGGCCCACCGACGGAGAAGTTACTGCAAAATGGAGCACTGGATCGAGGATCGTAGGGTTCGACGGCAAGAACGCATGGGTCATCACCGAGGGGGTTCCGGTGTGTGTTGCGGTTGACAGGCTCAGACCGTGCACAGCGGCTGAAGCTCTGGCATATCAATATCTTTCCCGGCACCAGGATGGAGGTATGGAACGATACGCTCCTCCTGAAGGTCAGCAGCAGTCGTTTGTCGACGAACGAAGAGAGTTACCTGGCGCAGGCCAGCCTGGAGCACCTCAAGAGGACGTACTCCCAGTCATCCATGAGGAGCCGGAATTAGAGATGCCAGAGCCGATGGAAGAGTCTCAACCTGTAGCACCAGGTGGGAACATGAGTGACGGAGGCGAGGGAGAAGCTGAATATTCCCCTGCCGAACAACCTGAGCCTAGACCGCCGCGCACCCCGTTGCAGAGATCTTTGCTAGATGATGTGCCGCACGACCTACGTGGTCGCGGCGAAGTGATGCGTAGGAGATTGGACACAGGAGGATCATCCTCAGAAAGGAGATCCGCCTCAGTGTCAGAACCAGCACCCGAGCCAGCGAACCCGCTGCTCGAGGCATGGCAGAGAACGGGGACTACAGGATCAGGCGTAGATCTACTCCAGAGGAGGACTGCGTCCGCGGCAGTCAAATCACACGAGTCACTTGTTGGTTTCTTCAATGAGCGAGCCATCAGTAAGCCTCAATCTCGAAAGAAGCTGAAGAGCGCTAAGAACCTTACATTCCATAAGGAATCGGAGGAAGTTAAGAGCGGGCTGCGTCTCGCAAGACAAGACGAGTGGGGAAAATGGCGAAGGTTCAATGCTGCCGTAACCACTGATTCCTCAGAACTGCAGAAGCTCCTCGACGAGGGATATCGCATGGTTCCCACGCAATGGATTGAGGTCGATAAAAACGAACATTTACGCAGACCGGGTGGGCCACCAGTTGCGCCACAATACAAAAACAGACTTGTGGTGCGAGGAGACCTCGAGGAATCTCTCGGCATCCGCGCGGACTCACCAACATGTGAGCTAGAAGGCTTAAGGCTGATAATATCGTGGGCCGCAGGCACGAAGAAGGCATTGAAATGCGCTGATATCACTTCAGCCTATTTTCAGGGTCAAGAGCTCGACCGTCTCATGTTATTAAAACCACCTCCCGACGGGCTCGAAGGAGTACCGGGTGGTGGGGCGCTTATAGCTCGTATGCCCGTTTATGGAACGCGTGACGCTGGTGGAGGTTTATGGAAGAAGATCCGACAACGACTAAAAACTGACGGATTAAGAGAGAACCGTATCATGCCAGCCCTTTTCCGTTTATCTAATGATCAGAACGAGATTACGTGTATGATAGGCACACATGTGGACGACATACGATGGGCCGCAGACGACTAGATCCAGAGGATCATTGACTCCGTGCTGGCAGAGTTCGACATCAGAGAGGTCAAGTCAGGAGATGTCCGCTACTGCGGGTTAGAAATTGTTCAAGATCAAGACTATACCGTCCACGTCATGGCCAAGGACAACATCGAAAACATAGAAGCTGTATCCTATCCCAGGGACAGCCCCCTCACCAGGCGCTGCAACGAAGGAGAGACATCCCAACTTAGGTCAGTTGTAGGTGCCTTGTCTTGGGTTTGTCGGCAATGCAAGCCCGAGCTCCCCTACCGCGTGAGTCGACTGCAAACGGCAGTGACCCATGCGAAGGCATTGCACCTTAAGGAGGCCAACCGCGTCTTGGAAGAAGCAGCACGTACGTCGGACAGCTGACTTGTGTTTAAAGGTGGTGCCGTGCTGTGGGACAAGGACATGATCGTTCTTACCGTTACGGATGCCAGCTGGGCTGGAGAAGACGATGTTGTAAGAGGCAACTTGGAGCCGCTCAGATCCCAGAGGGCCAGGTTCAACGGACTTGCAGGGCCGGGATTTGTCGAGGGGAACAGCGATTACGTCCACCCTATATGTTTATCGAGCAAGGTTATTAGGCGTGTGTGCAAATCTACTTTACAAGCAGAGACGTTGGCTTGTCTCTGGGGTGTAGAATCAGGTGTGCGTATGCGTGCTGCCATCGCTGATGCGCGAGGTATGCTTGGGGTAGCTAATAAACTCCCTTCAGACTGGGAAGAGATTTTAGCCATGAGGATGAGACATCTTTGGATGACAGATTTTGAGAGTTTGGAAGAGCACCTAACAGCGCCTACTATGGGAAAGACGGAGGATAAGCGCTTGAGTATTGACCTGAGCAGTCTCCGTCAGGACATTTGGACACGAGGTGATGAAGAGGTAGAAGTCTTGCACCCGAAGTTGTTCTGCGATAAGATCCGTTGGGTCGATACGAGTGTCATGGCCGTATATTGCCTCACTAAAGCTATGCCAAATGATTTCCTTGTTAACATATTGACCACTGGTACTTACGATATTACTCTGGACCCGGAGTCAACGATCAAGAAAGCGAAGAAACAGCTGGCTAGAGCTAGAGTAAACACTATCCCGACGGGGAAGTGATGTTACTGTTGCCACCCTGGCCGCCTTACGCTGCGTCTCGTTTGGAGACGCCCTTTTACTAGCCCCTAAGAGTGGCTGCCAACCGGCTAGCTCGTGACAGAGTTTCACGGGTGTGATATATAGTGTGTGTATGACACGCTCGTACGCCACTCGCCGCCGCTTGGCTCTTAGGGGCCCCTTTTTGCCTTGGCTTGAAAACGTATCATCAATCACATTGTCCCTTGTGCTTGCCCGCAGCATGCGGATTTTGAACGATGCCGAATGTTGTCGCTCGAACTGCTTGCTGTCGCTGCTTGATTATATACCGCTCATGCCCTATGGGGCCGCCGATGAAACCGATTCAGTGTCGGACGCGAGGTCCAGCATAGCTGACCGAAGTCATGTTTTGAGCTGCGCACGTGAAAAATGTCCACCTTCTCCTCTCTCCCTCCCCCCCCCCTCCCTCACTCCCACTTGGTCTGCCTTGGACTGGGATGGGCTGGGACGGGCCGGGCCGAGGCCCCGTGATCCCCGCCGCCGCAGCCGCGGCTGCCGCGGTTTCGTCGCCGCTGTCGCCGCCGTCGCGTCGTCGTCGTCGTCGTCGTCGTCGTCGTCGTCGTCGTCGTCGCTGTGGCGTGGCCTCTCCCAGCCGAGGAGGCGAGCTCCGCCGCCTGGCCCTCGGTGAGGGGGGGCTTGGACCCCCCAGAAACTACCAAAATGGGACATCGACCCCCCCTCCCCCTCGGTGTACCAGGTCCCCCTTGTTAATTACCCTGAAGGGGGGGGGGGGTCAGTGTCCCATTTTCGGGCGTTTTGGGGGATTCTCCGGGGCCCTCTCGGACCCGGATTTTCGGACGCCCTGGGGGCCTCTTCTCTGTCGGGGTGGTCTTTCTGGGCCGGGGTTTCCCTCCTCCCTTCCTGCCTCCCTCCCTCCTTCCCTCCCTCCCCCCCCGCCCTTCCTCTTTCCCCCGCTCCCTCCCTCTCCCCCCCCCTTCGGGTCGAGTCGGGGTTTGACGGATGGGAGCTTTGTGGATGTTCCTTAGAGGTGGGATGGCGACGAGAGGCTACTCCGCCCTCCCCTCCCTCCTTTCCGGCCGTGCTCCTGAGGTCTGCGCAAATCTTCTGGCCGTTGCAGGAATCCCCTTTCCCCGCGCTGCCTCCCCGCCGGTGCGCGGAGCGTGGCGGGTGCGGTGCCTGGAGGCGCGATGGGGTGCGGGGAGGTGGATTTTCTGGCGACGATCGGGGACGTTTGTGTGGACCTCGGGAGCTGGTCTGGGCTGGGGTGGGCTGGCCTTCAGGATGAGCTTCGCCCCTCCCCTTCGGGTTTTATTCTCGTTGGGACTGATCCTCTCTCCCTCCATCCTGCTAGCCTCGCACCTACGTCGTGCGCTGGCGTTGGGCGGAGTCGAGACCGGGTGAGGATCCCTGCCGGAGGGTCGCCTTTGCCCCCTCCCCAGGAAGTCCCTAATCTAGCGTTTGCCTTTTGGGCTTGGGCGTGGCACCTCTCCGGACGGAGCCTGGGAAGCTGAGGGAGGTTTGGGCACGGTGGCATGCAAGTCCTCGTGCCCTCCCTTCTGTCCCAGATCTGCTTCCCGAGAGTGGTCTCATTCATCCGTGGGCTGACGTTGTGGGGTTGCTGTCGGTCGCCGGCCTGGGCCCCGCGGCTCTCTACTAAAGGGGCTGTGCCCGCAGTTCCAACATGCCACATCGCTGGGAGGTCACCAACCATGCAACCAACCTCCTTCCCTCCCTCCCTCCCACCCTCCCTCCCTCCCTCCTCCTCCTCCACCCTTCTCGTTCCCTCCTCCCTTCCTCCCCTCCCCTCTTCTTCCTCCTCCTCTTCCATGATACTGTTTCGGTGTATAAACGCCCCAGCGCCCCACAGGTTGGGTAGGTGGGGCGTCCATGCGCCGAGCTCCTTGGCCGACCAAGCGACGTGGTGTATACATGGAGCTCCTCCGTTTCGGGAGAGGAGAGTCGGGTAACCCCGGACAGGTACGACCACGACGGCGACAAGATGCTGTCGGCGAGCGAGGCCCGCTGCTGACCCTCCCGCGCGCGGGTGCTGCAGGTCGCCGAAGAGCTCGCCCGAATCCGCTCGAGCCTGGCCAGGACTGCGACCCACACCCACGGCGTGCTGGAAAGAACCTCGGCGGCCAGTTCTCCCAATTTGGGGCCTCCGGAGGTCCGTCCGCAAGCACTTCGCCGGCATTCACAACCAGGACCTCCTTCTCTCCCCCTCTAAATTGACTTCTTACTTGGCTACCGGTCACGCTGCATGCTTGTATATTTCAAGATGTCATGACCCCCCCACACCTGGTCCCAGTCAGGCCCAGACGATTGTCCGCAGCGGTGGTTCGTTCGTTCGTCCGCTCGTTCGTTCAGGATCAGCAGGGACCACCCTCGACGAAAAGCCGGTCCCGGGGGTGGGGTCGAGGGCCCTGGGCGGATGGCAGGGGGGGGAGCAATAAACGTGGGGGGATCGAGGACTGTGGGAAAGTGGCCCTAAAGGGGCCCTAACGGTCGCTAAACTGCCACCGCGGGCCCAGAGGTGCTGCAGAGAAGGCGCACGTTTCTCCACACCGCGCTCTTGCCCCGCATCAGCGACCCTCTGAGTCGAGGGCTCCGCGGGCATCCCATTGCTCGCCGTGAGGGGGAAAGGGGTCCCGAGGGGAACGGGTCCTGAACCTCGGGGCCTCTCCGCGAACCAGTTCTTCATTTTGAGTCGCTCTTCAGAGGAGGAAAAGGTGCCCATACCGCTGTCCTTCCCGTGTTTTCCCAGTTTTGGGTCTCACGGGAGAAGCTTGTCGCCACCGTTGGATTCGGCTCAAAATCTTGGTCAGAGGTCTGGGGAGTAGCGGTATAGGTACATGTTGGTTTCCTCAGTTCCTTGACAACGGCCCCGGGGCCCGTGGAGGGCTTCAGGGCCCCGAGAGAGGGGGACAGACACGTCCAGGACCCCTCCCCGCCAGGACCCGCTCCCTACACGCCCAGACTGCAGCCTGTGGGCAGGCGGGGTGGGGCGCCTTGTCGTTCAGCTCCCTGCGCGGACGGCGAGGTGAATCCCGCGAGAGTGCTGGCCACTGGGCGCCACTGCGCACCACTGGTGGGCCCCAGGGCGTCAGCTACCCTTCGCCTGTGGCCCTCCGTGACCCTCGGCCGGCCGCGAACTCGGAGCGTCAGGTGCCTTGTTTTTGATGTCGAGTGGCTTTAGTGGGTGCTCGCCTGTCGCAATGCGTCTCTTGTTGGGAGGATTGTCCCAGGCTGACCTTTCCGCCGTGCTTCTGGGGAGCAGGCTTGTCTGGGGACGTGTTGGGCATCGCGCTTCCCCTGGGCGGGAGCAGACGGCATGTTGACTGACCCGATGGCCCACGTCATCGGGGAAGAGGAGAGGGTAGACCCCATCGCCGCGGGCATCCTCCCTGTTCTTCACCCCTGGGAGCCTTCCCATTCCTGCCCCTCGCCCCTCTTAGTCTTCACCCCTACGCATCGGTCTCTGAAGGTAGGTATGCTCGGAGTCCCAGTTTCCAATCTACTTGAGGCGCCTTCCTACTTCAAGGCTCGAGTGTTTTTCCCTTTTCCTTCGTCTTCAAGGGGTGGGCGGAGATCCAGTCCACTTCCAACGCCTTCCTACTGCATGCTTCTACCCACTTCTTCCGACCGACGGGTACTCATCGTCCGTGATCTTCACTCCCTTGGGGCTCTCCGTCTCTGTCCTCGCCCCGTGTGGCAGTTTTCCTTCGCCTTGGACCCTGAGCTTGCCTGGCCTTGCGAGCACGCTTCGGTTCCGATCGTTCTTGTTGTCGAGAGCAGCTTGCTTTGGTATCGATCGCTTCACTTCCGATTCCGTAGGCATCTGGAAGTTCACGTTTGTGGACAGGCGAGGATGACGAGGAGGAGAAGGAGGATTCTGTGGAGGAGGGGGGGAGGAGCGGAACAAGCATGAGGAGGTCGAGCGCATGGTAGCTCGTGCCATCTCTTATCATTGCTGTCCCGTCGTGCTGCACGCTGCAGTCTTTCCTCGGGAGAGGCCCCGTCGAGATGTGTCAGTACTCACGTTCTTGACCAGTGACCTTGAATGACAGCGGTGTCATAATAGTGTCCTGTTTTGTACATACATATAACTTACCTGTATGTTTCTGGGTCATGCGTTTTTGACTGAAGCTTTGTGGTGTCTTTGGCATGCCCGCCCGCCTGTCTGACTGTCTGCAAAGTGCCATCCTGTACCGTTATGGCTCTTGCCTGGACTTATCAGCTTGCCCGTTCCTCTCCCCCTCTGGTCCCGATCGGCCCCAGTGTTACCATGTGGTGTTCGCCGCGCCCTTTTGCACCTCTGTGTTCCGTCCCGCCCAGCCTTTCTATCCGTAGACGCTGTGGCCAGCATTTTGGGCGCTCCCTGTGGCGGTGCACTGCTGCCCCGCTGGCGCGCGCCCGCCATGGGGATGGCTGCCGTTTTGGCCACACCAGCTCTGCTGCTGCTGCTGCTGCTGTCGTCTTGGACGGTTGCGGCCGCAGGCCACGGCCGCTTCCAGGCAATCAACGCGGTGACGTTGGCGACTCGCAACATGTCGGCCAGCTTTGCGTTCTATCAAAGTCTGGGCTTGGAGTGTACGTTTGGTGGGCCTGCGGAGGATTTCTCGACTTTCGGCTCGCCTGGGGGGCCTGGGGGAGGCGACAATGCCTTTCATGTGAATATCTTTGTTTCGGAGCGCTACGAGCCCCCCGCCGCTGGCGAGTGGAACGGCTGGGGGCGCGCAATCTTCTATCCGAATGGCCTTCGGCCGCCCATCCCGCCACCGTGCCTGGGCAACGTGTTGCTTCTCTTTGGGCCTCTTGGGCCCCTTCTTGGGGGCGTCGGGGGCCATCTCGGGGCAAGGTGCCTCTTGGGCCGTCTCGGATCTTCAAAATACCGAACAGCTGCGGCCGCACCAAAGCCACGTGAGTTTTTGACGGCTCTGGCTTCGCAGGCCAAAACGGAGGATTTACAAGACGGCTCGAGAGACCACCAAGCGGCTCCAGCACGGGCCCATGGGACCATCTTGGAGCATGCTGGCAGTGCTTGGATTCCGAAGAACCCTTCCAAGGGCGCCAGGATCGCGGGCGCCAGACAAGCCCCAGGAGCGCGGCCGCGCGCTGGAATATCTGGTGGGTTTGGTGCCAGGGGGCGCTTGAGGACGACTCTGCTCAAGACAGGGGACGACATACGGTGGGGGCGTGCGTTAAGGAAAGCGCCTAGGAGGCTTCAGACCCTGGAGGAATCCTGGTGTGATGAGGGCGGCGGCAATACCTATCGTCAATCCACGATTTGCGTTCTACTGGCTTCCAGACCCTGCGTTCCTTATCCACTGGTTCTTCATCGAATGTCTGCCCTCGACGTGATCACAGTGTGCCTACGGCACGCCAGCGGATGTGGACGACGTGGATGCCGCCTACCGCCGGGTGGTGGCCGCGGGCATGCGGCCCGAGGCCGCCCCTTCAGACGCGCCCTGGGGTGAGCGGTATTTCCAGATCCTGGACCTCGCTACTCACCAAACCACACCAACGCAGCCCAAAGGTCCCAGACCCCCCAAATTTCGGGTTGGGGCGCCGAGTTCTACCGCGTTTTCCCGATGTTCCGAAACGTCCACCGGCTGGAAATTGGCAGGCTCAACGGCGACTTCGGGTTGGGTTGGGGTGGCTTGGTGGGTGGTCAGGACCCGATGGGGCACGAGATCTCCATCGCGCGGCCGCTGGGCGATCGAGGGCCCAGCGCGCAGCCGCCCCAGGCCACCAGAGGCGGCGCTGCCACAACGCCTGCGCCACCAGCGGCGGCACCCACGCAGCAGCGGGACCCCCCGCTCACCATGAGGGCGCTGCGCGCCAGCGGCGAGCCCTGCAGTGCGCCTGGCTGGCCTTGCCTGGCGGTGTCCCCGACAGCAGCGGTTCCGGCTGCAGGTCGTGGCGAGGCTCTGCTCGCCATGCGCGGGAGCTGCGTCAACCCACTCGACGTGGACCTCGTGGAGCCTTCCTGCAAGGCTTTCCCCCCATCCACGGCGCTCCATTGCACGAACGGCACCGTCGGGTTTGAGGGCGGTGGCGTGGTTGCTGCCGTGGGCGGTGGCACCGAGTGCGAGGGCCTCCAGGTAGGCGACGAGGTGTGGGGCTTCATGGAGGACGCATATGCGGAATACGCGGTGGCCCAGTGCAAGACGATAGCCCCGAAGCCGAAATCGCTCGGCTTCCCCGACGCGGGCACCATCCCGTCTTCTGGCTTGACGAGTCTGCAGTGCTTGAAGGCGGCTGGCGCTCCCTGGACCGACGAGGCCAACGGCACCGTGGTCAGGGTGGCACCGGCTTCCTGGCCGTCCAGCTCGCTCGTGCGCTCGGAGCCTCTCGGGTGGTGACCGCAGCCTCTGGCGCGGGCATTGACATGGTGAGGTCTCTTGGAGCAGACCTCGTCGTAGACTACCGCGTCCAGGAGCTCTTCGACGCCTTGCCCGAGGACAGCGTGGACATTGTGTTCGATAACTACGGCCGCCCAGGGACCGCGGACAAGGCCATGCGGTCGATACGGCGGGGCGGCCTCTTCCTGGTGCTTACTGGATCGCTGCACGGTGACGTGTCTAAGCACCCCAAGCCCGGGGTGTCGCAGGTGAGGTTCGAGCAGGTGAACAGCTCGGACCGCCAGGGCCTCATGCAGCTCTCTGGTTTGTTCGAGGCAGGACACCTGCGGGCCCACACCTTCAAGGCGTACGGTCTCTCGGAGGTCCCGCAGGCGTTCAACCAGCTGCTGGCCGGCGGGGTCTGCGGGAAGCTGGCAGTCGTGCCGAACGAGCAGACTGCTGCGCCTGTGCTTGCCACGGACGTTTTGTTCGTGTGACGGGAGACTCTGGCCGCGTTGCGACAGCGGTCCCAGCTCGAGGGCTTGCTAATCCTATATTTGGCAGGTGTTCGGTTCCAGTCCTGGCCCCGTTATTGTTCCGTCCTGACCTTGCCTCAACTCCTGTTCTTGCTTGCGCTTGCTCCCCAGCTCGGTGTCCTGCTTCTGCTGGTGTCCCTGTACGGCTCTGTCCTGTCTTACCTGCACGAGATCCCTGCCGCCTGCCTTGCCGTTGTGTGCGTTTGCTTTTCTCGCTTGCTGCTTTGAATGCAAGCGAGGTGCGATCTTACGCGAAGGGCGAGTTCGACTTCGTGGTGCCACAGGACGCCTTGGACTCTATATGGAAGAACCTCGTGCCCGAGGATCCGACAGGATAGCTGTTTTGACAGGAAGTAGCCAGACAGTCTGCAGTCCAGAGAGAGTCTTACGAAACGCAACGTTTGCGGCAGCTTTTCCGATGCCGTCTTAGTTAGAACATCTTCGACATGACAGTGCCACTCAGAGAAAGCATACCAAGCATACGAGCACCTGATTGACTAGCAGATGTCCTCATTCGCGACGGCTCATATTTTCGATCTGTCTCTCCTTCGAGGACTTGTCTGTCTTGTTGCTCTGGTAGAATCCTCGTCTTGGGGCTAAGGCAGGTGCTCGTCAGTCGGGCTATACCGCTCGAACGTGAATCACCACGCAGGCGCCGCTTTCGGGCAGTGCACCCTGAGCCCCTGGAATGCGATCTGCCAGGCAGCTGGAGCGAGAGAGAGAGAGAGAGAGAGAAAGAGAGAGAGAGAGAGAGCGAAAGAGAGACATAATATTGAAACATCATCGTCGCCTCACCGAGGACCGAGGGACGAGCTGCGTCTTGGGGAAAGCCGCGTGGCATTACCATTGGAGCGTGCCTGGCGAAGGGTTGTATGTTGTGCGTGCTTATACTCTTGATGCCGAGGTAAGAAGCTCGCTGGTGTTGGAGTCGACATGCTCCAGCACCTGAGGGTGCACATCGGGGTCGCCACCTTAGCTTTGGGAGTATGACTAGAAGGGAAGCGATCACGCACCCAAGCATAAGATAACCACTTTTGACGCCCTCCCTGCGGTTGCCGCAACTGGCGCGCTGCCACTGAATATGTTCGGAAGCGCCTGGGCGGAGAAGAGGATGTGGATGAGGGGGAGGAGGAACAAGAGACTGAGAAGAAGCATGGCGAGGAGGAGCAAGAAGGGGATCAAGGAGAAGGTGGGAGGACGAGGTATCGGAAAGGGAAGATCAGATGAAAGGACATACCATGAAGTGTTAGCGGACAGGAGTAACATTCGGATAGTATGGGCGCAGGGGTCGATAAATGCGGAGGCAATTACGTCAACGGATCACGAGGATGGATCGGTTCTCCTTCGGATGCCCTCTGTAGGGGCGCGTCTGGGGTGGGCGGCCCTCTGTAGGGGCATCCAGCCGTTGTCTTCGTCAGTGTCGGCGCGTTGGCAGGGCCGACTCGGGAGGTCCATGACGCCCGCGCGGATGCTCGCGGAAAAGTGACTACGTAGAACACATCGATCCATCTATGCATATACACACCTATATATATATATATATATACATATACATATTAAAAATGTATACACTGGAGTGCTGGTTTGGCCGAAAACGACGACGCTATTCGAAGACGCAATTGATTGAGGGCGGCCACATGGAGACGCAGTTGCCCAACCAGACGGGGCAGACGCAAATGCGCTTGAAGACGCTATCCCAATTGAAGACTCACATTCGCCCGAACACGGAAATACGCTTGAAGACGTTATCTTTGGCGAAGGCGCTATTCCGATTGGGGCGGGTGCCCGCGAGTTCCTGCGCAGGCGGTGCCTGGGCGCAGACGCACTTCGCGTCGAAAGCGCGAACCAGTTTGAAGACACTATTCATTCCGAGGACACTATTCCTGGTCAAGGCGTTTACCTTCTGAAGACGCAGTTCCTTGCGAAGGCGCTTTTCCCAATGAGGACGCTATTCCTGGCGAAGACGCAATCCCCTCTGAAGACGCAATTCCTGGCGAAGACGCTATTCCCGGTGAAGACGCTATTCCCCCCAAAGATGCTATTCCTGGTGAAAGCGCTACTCCCCCCAAAGATGCTGCTCCTGGTGAAGACGCTATTCCCCCGAAGACGCTCCTCGCGAGGACGCTATCCCCCGCGAAGACGCTATCCCCCGCGAAGACGCGACTCCCTCTGAAGACGCTGCTGCTTCTGGACACGCTATTCTTTCCGAAGACGCTATTCCCTTCGAGGGCGGTTCGCCCAGCGAAAACGCGATTCCCGACGAGGACCACATGGTTGCAATTGCGTCGCCCCGCGCCGCATGCATTACACCAGCGCCACAGAGCCAGCACCTCGTAGCTTGCGCCGCGTGGGTCCAAACACCACCCAGATTGCACCGCGCAGCTTGCATTGCATAGCCTGCGCCGGCGCAGACGGGCTCAAGTAACCATCCGGCTCAAACGGGCCAGCCCCGAGTGCCCGCGCAGAGGGCGCGTTCTGGCTTCTCTCTCCCGCCACCTTCCCCCCCCCCCCACATAGGGCCGGCAGCATGGCTTGCGCGCGCGTGGCCTGCCCGCTCTTCGGAGCGCTCCCGGCCTCGGCCGACGCGCAGGGCCGATGCCAGCGCTGCGGGCAGGCGCTACCCGGCGCCGCTGCTCCCGCTGCTGCGGCGGCCGGGCTGCCGTTGCCGCCAGGGCTTCCCGCCCCAGGCGAAGGCTCTGCAGCGGCTGCCTTACCGTCTGCCCCAGGCCAGGCGCCGCCAGCGGCGGCCGCGCCAGCCTCCGCGGACGCGGACACGATCATGGACGACGACGCCGACGAGACGGGCCTCACTCAGTCCGCCCGCGCGCTGCAGTTGGCTGGCGATCCCGCGCCGCCCGGACCTGCTCCGCCAGCAGCCGATGGAGCGCCAGGCGTGGCGTCAGCGGCTGCAGGAGCCCCGGGCGTCGCAGGTCCACCGCGGCAGCCACTGCAAGTCGTGGTGTCGGACGAGCTCTTCGCCGCCTATGTGGAGGACTGCTTGGTCAGCGGCTTTGCGGTGGCGGCGGCCGGCATTGGTACGGTCCAGCTCACGCCCCGCAGCCAGATACGCTCTTGGCAGGCGCTTGATGGCGTGCTCTGCACCCTCGGGTTCCGCAGCGCGCAAGCTGATGCTTGGGTCGCGCTGGGGGTCGTCGCGCTCGACGAAGGAGCAGGCCACGGCGCTGCAGCGACGGCTTGAGCTCGCTCGCACCCTGCGGACCCTGGCGGATGCCCAGCGGTGGCCGGGGGCAGACATCGAGCAGGCTGAGGCGGCCACGGGCCGCTTGGAGGCCGCCGCGGACGCTATCCAGCGCGAGCTGGCGAGTGCCAGGGGGCGCCGCGGGCACAGTACTCCTACTCGACGGGTCTGCCAGGAGCGGGGCGAGGGGCCTCGAGCTTTTCGACACTCTGCGAACGGCGAACAGCGCGATTGGCACGCAGTGCTCGAACCATCTCGGGCTGACGGCGGCGCAGCTGACGCGGGCGCTCCGCGCAGGAGAGGCGGCGGACATGCGCCTTGCCCTGTGTTCGTCCGCGTCGGACGTTTGCTGGGCGCGCTTGGCTGGCAAGGACGTGGTCATCTGGTCTCCGGCTGCCGCCGACGAGGTCGGCCGCTTGCTGGGGGGCTACGCGCGCCATTTGGGGCAGGGCCACCGCGGCACCACGCTGCGATTAGCGCGCCCCCTCGACGACCTGCCGGGCTGCTCCACGCCGACGGCGATATTGCAACACTGGGCTCGCCCTGGCTTGGGAGAGCGGTGGGCGGGAGTGTTGGCCAAGGTGGAGTTCATGCTGCAGCCGCTGGAACAGATTAGCCCGGGCGGCCGCTTTCCGCCGGTCTCGTGGCGGCCAGTGGGTTTGCCCACCTTCCAGCACGAGGCGCTGCTCGCGTTGCCGACGACGCTGGCGATGGAGGAGCCCTGGAAGCAGGTCGCGGTAGGGCCGGTGACCATCAGCCTTGACTTTCCGACACGTGCCGAAGCCCGGGTAATGGAGGTGACCGCTGCGGCGCTGGCGGCGGGGCGGAGTCAGTCTGAGCCGCGACGAAGCCCGGCTTCGCAGAAGTCGGACCCCCGACTGCGCCTGACGTTGTACTCCGGCGACGCCGCGTGCACCGTGCTGGACGCCGCCGTCTTCGCCCGCCAGCCCCAGAGGCTGCCCCCCCCGTTGGGGGGCGCCGCCGCCCGGGGCGACATCTTCATAGACGATGCGGCGTTGATAATGACCACCACGGGCCCAGGCGCATTCACAGTGGCGTTTGGGAACTGCTTGGAGCTCATCCCGCTGAACGCGAGGACTGCGGTGATTCGCACCAGGCTGGATGAGACCTCGTGGGAGGAGGACACGCGGAGCTGGCAGGCCGCAGATCCACAGCGAAGTGGTTACCATCTTCGCCATCAACGGCTGGTCAACGAGGGCGGACTCTGGGTCTCCGCGCCTGGGTCGGCGAACCGGCAGCGGCAACTTGCAGCCCGCGCGGGCGACGTGTCGGCGCGCCTCCTGCTGCAGCTGCAGGGCCCGCCTGGCCCCCGGCCCGACACTATCGCTCAGGCGGTGGGCGATCTGATCCAGCAGGCTCTCGGCCAGCAGGTCCCGCCCATTCGTCCTGAGGAGGCTCTGGAGGCCTACTCCCTTCGCCCCGAGCGCGGCACGATGGCAGGCCCCCTCACTGGCCGCTTGGAGTTGGCCGTTCGCTCGCCGGCTGAGGCCCGCCATCTGCGCGAGCTCCTCCATGGCCGTGGCATTAAGCTCGGGGTCGACCTGGCGTCCTTGGAGGCGCGGCGCATTCCGCTTGCCGCGCGGCCAGGAAACGGCCGCCGGTGCTAGGCGACCCGGCCGGCCTGCGCCAGAGCCCATTCGAGGCCGGCGATCTCCGCGTTGTCCTCATAGTAGAGGATGATGTGGCCGACAGGCTTCATAATGCCTTGACGCCCTCGGCCGGAGGCCGAGAAAGTAATTAAAGGTGTGGAAGAATCCGGCCACGCAAAGCCTAGCCGGAGTCAGAAAACATGGGAGACCCAAAAACAACGAAACAGTCAAACCAACTCAACCTCTCCGACACCGGGTCCGTCGAGGAGAGGGAGGGGAGGAGGTAGGGCGAGGCCGTCGCCGCCGGTGTGGAGACATGGGCTCGCGGCTAATCTGCCCCCGTGGCTGGTGGAGGGATCCTCAACCCCTTGCCCGCGTAGAGACCCCCCCCTAAACCATTCCTGGCTTTCAGGCAATTTTCCCAACGTCCATTGTTGAAAGGGAGTTAACGTGCGCATGAACATAGATATTGTAGATATAGTGGCGGCACAAATACTTAGGACCCTCCTTGATACAAAGCGAGT